ACCGGGATAAAATCCGATCACTCAAAACATAATAAGTACGGAAATTTCACTACAAATTCGTCTGCACAAGTGCTGCATACATGAGGTAAGGAGAACACCCCCCATGTCTTTTATTTCGGGTAAAAAATCTCTGCTAACAGAAGAGCGTCACTATTTAAAAAGACGTTTTCGGTAATCATTGGACAGCATCAATCTGAAACGGGTAAGCTCAAATTTTCATTACTCAGAACATGTACAGTGTTTAGATTTGTTTCGGAGATTTTCATTTTATTACGATTAACAGAAAAATGATAAAGAAATGAAACCAAATTAAAATTCTCTGAAACAACAAAAACCATTATAATTTAGTCCTTTTTTTTTTCTATTGACAATAAGGGAAGATGGTCCGTTCTTCCTCTCGAAAATTAATATAAAAATTGTAAGTGATGTATGAATCTTCGTAACTCCCCAGCTTGTCCCCAAACAATTTGTGCATATTTAACCTCAATAAATTAAATTAGAATTTATTGAGATTTGCACGAGCGTAAGGGCCATTATTTTGAGTTATTAGCATGTCCGCTCCTTGACCGTCACGTTTATAAACTTTCTTTTCGCATTTTTCGTCTTTGCAGAAAAGATTGAAAATGCCATCCTTATCACAATCAAGATTGAGGTCTTTGTCTTTCGCGGTAAATTGAGTGACACCGTCAGCCGAAATTTTAGCGTTCAAAACATCCGTCAAGTTGGTAATAATTTTGCCACAACGGTCTGTGATAAAGAAATTGTAAACATTTTTAGAGGGTTCTTTCAGACCAGTCAAAAAACCGGTGATCGAGGTTACACCACATTCGTTTTGGGCGAAAACTGAGATGCCGGTAACGTTTTTCTCAAAGATTGCCTGGCCAAGAGAGCATGGACATTTTTCTGGTTTTGTTTCATTACGTTTGTTCAAAGGAACATTGCTACGTTTACTATATGGACATTCATGAGCCTCGACTGACGATAGGACGATGGCAGCGAAGAGGATTAAGGCTAAGGTGAAAAGTGTGACTTTATTACTCATTTTTATCTGATATAGGTCTTTATGGGCTCGTACTAATGGTTATCACTCGTCTTCGAACCTTGAAGGAAAATATTTTGGTAAGGAAAATGTCGTCCCCTTTTATATCCAAAAAATGATTAGTTTCGGATCTACATAAAAATATTTTATCAGAACCATGCCGGATCCGTGCAATTATAGGTCATTCCATAAATGGAAGTTTAAAACGTACAAGCATTTTTTTTCGCGCAAAAGAATGACCGTCGGCGGTTAGCCCATCTAAATTTTGAGATTTTAATTTATTAGGGATAAAATAATGCACAAACAAAAGCGAGTTTTTTTTTATCGATAATGCATACTATGAGGATGCCGAATCTGGGCTTCACAAGATTGAAGAGGTATACCTGTAAAAAGAATTTTCGGAAATACAATACACCTTTATAAATGATGATGACTTTTTTGTGTAAGAAACAGGAAATGTGATGATATGCAGTATTAAAATTTATTATTATCCACGAAAATTTGCACGTCGAGCAGATTTTTTCTTAAAAAAAAAACTTGTGGTCATCACAAAAAAAACCAATTTCAAGCGCGCAGCAGTTCTCCATGCATGTTGTAAATAGTGAACTCGGTGGTTTCACAGCCCGTTCCCAAGAAATACAGAAAAATGTCAGGTACATTAAGATCATTTGACGTTGTTTCTCGAAAAGATCATGGAATAAAACAGAAAACAGGTCCTAAGATCAATTGCCTAAAAAATAAAGAATAGTTTGGAAATTAATTGCACAGCCACATCAGGTCAATTAAGTTGTCAAATCCTGAAGAAGGCTATGCATCATTCGTCCGGTTGATTTCTTAAAATATGTGTCTTGGTTTTGAATCTGTCGAGTCAATGAGACGGATCCAAGAATTTGAGAAAATGTACGTGAGTCGAGCTACATAGCTTTTGCATAGTAGTAACGTTATGAATATACGGTTAAAAGACTTTTTGTTTGGCACAGATTACGACTAAAGCTAAATTAGTTCCTTTTCGATCAGGTGGCTTTTTGTTCTGAAAGCTTGGCTGTATAATTGGATTTATCATAATGGGATGATCTCTCTTTAAAAAAAAAAAAATCGGTTGAGACACTTTGCAGACAAAGTTGTTTTAAAAATAAATGATAATAATGAATGAAAGCCAAATTGAGGGGTGGTTTCTCATGAATTTGTGTAATTGCATATGATTATCGATATTTTTTTGTTCGTATGAAAACTATATTTACCTTGTCTATAATCTCTGGTGAGCAGAAATTTTTTTACCCGAAATAAAAGACATGGGGGTGTTCTCCTTACCTCATGTATGCGACACCCCTACGGCATTCGTGCGTCACCCATGCGTCAACTGTGCTGCACTAGTGTAGACGAATTTATAGTACCACAATAATTTATATTATTATGTTTAA